TAACCCCATTAAATGTAATTGAACATAATGCATTCCTATTATTTCTGGATGCAGCCATCACATGGATGAATTTTGTGTTTTTATCCTGTTTCAAGACTTAGTTAATTCTAGACTTCTACAACCAAACCCATTTCACCATTTTACTCAGTGGCCATGCTTCTTCTTTTGCCTCCCTTCTTCTATTTAATTCTGCTTCAGACAATGACATTTCTTCAGCTGCCAAATCAATCACATGTAATTCCCCCTCAAGAAGCTTGAGTTTATAATCCACATTTCCAAAAACTTCCTTATTCCATTGTTTCAATGCTAATCCAAGTGATTACAGTTTCCTTACGCACCGAAAGCCAGCCCACCCTTCTACATTAGTTTCATTCCAAATTTTCTCCACAAAGGTTTTGAACTGAGGATAAAGGGTCCAGGCATTCAGGAATCTGAAAGCCTTCAGACCCCAATCCCTCTCATCTTCCATGAGCAGGATAGGGCACTGATTAGAAAGCCTTCTTGGTAAACCCCATAATTTAAAATTGAACTTCTGTAACCATTCTGAACTAAGCAAAAACCTGTCAATCCTACTCTATTTTTCTCCTTCTTGAGAGTTACACCAAATAAATTTCCTTCCCAATATTGGTATATCACACACTTAAAGATTTTCAATTAGTTCAATGAAATCACTCATACCTCTGTCTCTTCTAGAACAACCCTTCGTCTCAAATATATTCCTAACTGCCTTGAAATCACCTCCCAAACACCAAGGTTTTTCATTTGCTGACTTCAGTCTATTCAATATACCTTATACCCTTCTTCTTCTAGTATCATCATTCGAACAATATACATTAACAATTACACATTCAAAGCTACAATAAAGAGTATCTGACAAAATGATATAATTCCTGTTGCAACAGCTGTCACGACCCAAACCTGCCCCTAAAAGTTTGGCATCGTAACCGGCCAGTAATCCAAGATTACCACAGGCCTTCCTGTACAAAACGTAAATAATTGGGGCTAGCGGAAGCAAAGACAAAATGCCATAAGTCCAAAGAGCTGTGCATATGTATGAACAAATATTTACATGCCAAAAATGTTAATTTACCCACTTACATTACATAACGTATAACGAAATAACAAATACAAAACATACGCACGTGCCACAAGTGTACAACAAAAACAAGGCCCAGCTCGGAGGCACACAAAACACCTGATAGGCTTCCAAAACGGCGGCTCGGTTCAAGACTCCGCCTAGGCTTGACTCCCAGAACGCTCACCTATAAATACATATATAAAAACAGTGAGCTAAAGCCTAGTGAATAACATTAAAGTAAAGGGGTAGTGAACGAATTCCACATATAAGATACTCGTAAAACAAATCATTCATAATCATTCATAACAGAACATAACATAATGGTACATCTCACAGGATATAACACATATCGTCTTCCGACTAGAGAATCGGTTCCGGTTACCGATTAACACATATCACCACAATGAAGTGGCTAATGAGATCTCGTATCACGTGTATGTCATGGACCCGCACTAATGTGCCATCCCCCATGACTTGGGACTATCCGTAGATGCCATAGTAGATTCACAAATAGGATATTCGTTCACACAGTCAGATAACACTTTGAGAAAACATAGCGTATCAATAACAGTTAAAACATAATATTTTATCAACATAACTTTACAGAAATGTTACTCACAGTGGGTTGCCAAAACCGGTTGTGCGGTCTTCAAGTTTTGACCTACAAATACCAACATTATAACACAATTCCTTAACACATTTTGCCATCGAATCAATTAGTTAGTGCTATTCTATTCTTTCTTTACTTTGTTTCATGTTTCTGAGATGCTAATGGATGCAAATGACATGCGAAAATCAAGTAAATGAAGGCCCGGAAGTCAGAAAATGAGACAAAAACAAAATTGGAAAATGTGCACTGTATGGCCGCACATGCGGTGGCCCAGGCCGCATGTGCGGTGGCTTGGCCACTCGTGCGGTGGCCTAGGCCGCACGAGCGGTGGAACTGCAGTAGCCAAAACACTGTTTGGCCGCTCGAGCGGTTTAAATTACGTATTAAATCTTTAAAGAACGGACATAATTGAAAAAAATCAATACTTCTAACATTTTTAAAATAAATAATGGAGAAAGGGCATTAAACTTCTAATACACCCCAATAATAAACGGACATACTTCTAACATTTTAAATTATTTATTTTTTAAAATTTCCTAGGTCTTTTAGTGACTGGTCTAATAGGATGAAAAGGGAAATTTTCTTTTTAAATTAAAAAAAAAAAAATGAACTCACTGAAGAGAAATAAATAAAATTTCTAATTTTTTTTTGTCAAACCAGACTTCAATTTAAATTTTTAACATATCTCAAAATATTTTTATAGATTTAAGTAAATTTTTATTTTCTTTGTTTTCTAATAACGTTTGTGACCTAGTAAACAAAGGTGCGTGTCATTAGTTTTTGAAAATCTTTGTTGTCGCCCGTTTATTATATTTATGTACTAACGTATGCTCATGTCTAAAGGTACGGTGTAAATAAAAATAAGTAAATAAAAAAGAGAAAACAAAAAATAAATAAATAAATAGGGAGGAAAAGATAAAAAGGTTCAATCATCTACAACAAACAACAATGGCTTCATTCAAAACCCAAAATACCCAAGTATTTACCCAATGATCAAAACCCCTCTATTGAGTTATTAAACCAAATAAATATTAGGGTTTCCTCTCCTTACAACAACAACATGCTAATTAACACCCAATTAGCCCCAAAACACATCTAATGATAATAGATCTAAGTCCAACAACTAACCCAAAGTTCAACCTCATGAATTTATACAAAAATCCAACATGATACAATTTTCATGCAATATAAAAATTACCACATGTCTATCTATAGACGTGGTATTGAAAAAGAACAAGGAGAATCCCTACCTCAAAGGAGAACTCAAAAGGAGATGATGACCCGAAATCAAAGTGCTCCAAATCCACAATTTTTCCGATTAAGACGAAGCCCTCGACACCCTCTACCTTTTTAACAAAGGACCTAGGATGGATTCATACTAGAAGGAGATGAAATTTAGAGAGATAATAAGTTTAGAGAGAGAGACTCTCGGCTGCTAGGGTTTCAAGAATGAAAGAGGGAGAAAAATGATCTTTTTCCCCGCTGCTGCCTACTGAAATACGATAGCCTTGCTCAAGCGAAGACAAGCTCGCTCGAGCCAAGAATTCCAGTGTTCAGGTCCTAGTTCCAGACGCAACGCTCGCTCAAGCGAATCCACCCTGGCTCGACCCACCAGACACAAAACTCCACGCTAGCTCGAGCGACAAACCTCTCGCTCGAGCGAAGGACTAAAAACCTGGGCAGCAAGCACCTGCTCCCAATCACACCCAACCTGGAACGAACAAGTCCAAAACATTCTATAACTCAAATTTAAAGAATTGAAGGACAGAAACAAGTTCAAAACAACAACCGGAATCCACGGAACTAAGTCCAGATACTACAACCAAAGGAGAAAGAACCGGGATCGCTATAGAGACCGGCCAGATTGACGTATAGCAAAAATCTGTTCATATAACTCATAGACCCAAGAGACATTACTTTGATTTGAAAAAGACTCAGCAAGGGAGTCTCAAATGTCCTTAGAGGTATCACAAAATTCCACAGTAGTTGCAACATGTGGTTCCAGACTATGCCAAATCCAACCCATAACACAGGAATCCTCATTACACCAATCATCATAAGCTGTATCATTAGTAGGAGGAGGGACTTCGCTAATGAAGCGAGACTTCTTCTTACCATGTAAGAAAATTTTGACGGCATGGGAACAAGCCAAATTATTGGCACCATTCAATTTCTTGGTAGTGATAGATTTAGGCATGTCATCATCCTTACCCATAGTTATAGCCTTAACCTCAATCTCAAGTATAATGATCAATCACACAAAATTCTCAACACAAGCATGAAAGGGGCAAAATACTTGCAACAACCAATACCCACAACAACCAGCACCAACAATCACCAATATAGACACAAAACTAGCTCAAAAAACAAAAATTCACAGCAAAAATAGGCAAAAGTGAGGAGAACATAGGTTTGCCAACCAAATTTGGACCCAAATTAGACCAACACACCAACTTAACAGCAGAAATCAATAAATAGAGAGCAAATATCCCTTGCTAGAAGGATTTCAGCCCTTATATAGGAACTTTCAATACGTAGAAATGAAGAAAACAGTGCTGCTGGACCAAAAATAGGCAATAATCGAACAAAACATCAACCCAACAGTAGCAAAACCACAAATTAAGATCAAGGACCCCTAGGGTTGGTATTTTCGGCTCCTAGGGTAGAGATTCCAGCAAGAAAAAACAGCAAAAAGCAGTCCCAAGAGCAGATTTGAAAAACAGCCCCAAAAAACATGAAATACTTTCAAAAATTGAAAACTCACATCAGGGATGATTAAAAAATTCCAAAAAAATCACCATAAATCTCAGGAGGCAATTTTGAGTCTAGCGGTGAATGACCCCTTCATACAGTGCTTACGTCATGCTGACGTCATCGTACGGCTGATGACATCAGCACGTCTCGATCACCTCAGATCGATCTCCAGAGTCTGTAGAAACCTTTCTGATGAAGAATAGATTGCTCTGATACCAAGTTAGAATGTAAAATGAAGGAATTTAGGGTTGGAATTTTGGAGGAAGAAGAAGAAGAAGAAGAAAGAGATATTTTATATATATTGAATAATCATTGTGTCTCAACTTTACATCAGTCAAATATATATACAAACCTTAACATAGCAATATGGCCATCGTACCCTCAATTTAAGTAAATATTAACAAGAGAACAAAAAAACAAAAATAAGTATTCTAACACTATATAATATCTGCTTTAAGTTAATTATATTGTCTATTTTATTATTTCTTCAATAGTTTTATTTGACAACTATAAGTGTAAGTGTTTCACCTTCCTCTTTGTGTCAAAGTTTTAATAATAATGTTGCATTTATGTTCTGTATAAATGCACTAATCTTTGATAAATAGAAATATTTATTTGACACATCTTGAAAGATAATTTTATTTTTATTTTTTTTATTTTCCAGGTAGCTTTAATTGTTTTCCTTTCCCACATTGGAAGTTTTGTACCTGCCTATGATCCTCCAAAGGTTTGATGCTCTCAATTGCTATCCAACCAGAGTTTCTAATAAATGCAAATTCATACTAAGAGTGCGTTCCTGGAGGTCACCTCTAGGTTTGCTAGTCACATTTGTTTTGATAGGCAACTTGTGATGGGATATGCTCTACTAATTTGCAGGTTTTGGTTTGCACTCACTTGACTGAGATATTTAATGATAGTTGCATACAAGAGGTATAAACAAGACATTGCATTTTTTAAAACTTGAAGTATTAACTATTTCAACTGAGTGACACATCTATATATATATATATATTATTTGCAGTCTGATAACATTAAGTATTACACCATGAGTGTCCTACGACCTGACGATGGTACAGATATTGAAGATATTGTATTTCTATATAGGTAAGTTATTTTTAATATCATGTAGTATTCTTAAGGAAAATTTCATACACTTTTAGACAAATTCTACCATCTCTTTATGCAGTTATAGTTACACATCATCTGTCGGATTTAGTTTCCAATAGAAATTTACCTTTAATGAAACCCCACTCGGATTTTTTAATTTGGTCTTGCAGGCTTGTTCCTGGACATGCACTTCTTAGCTATGGTGAGTAAATAGTGTTTGTGTTTGTTAGGAATTCTGATGGATATTATTAAGAAAATTGGAATTCACATACTTCAGTTCATACCTTGCAGGGCTGCATTGTGCACTACTTGCTGGTATGTTTCAAACAATAGCTGATTTTCAAAAAATATGCTAGGCATTTCACAATAATTTTTGTGTGTGTATGTGTTTTTCTTAAGCTTCCTTATTATTGCTAGGCAAATGCAAAACAAGGGTTTCATACTCCGCCCATATTTTTTAATCTTTTAGTAAATATTCACTCATTAAACATTCTGTAATTCCCATGATTTGTCATAGGTTTAAATTCATGCATTCATTTCCATGACAAATTGCGGAGGTTTTACTAGAGGCTTTATTTTCCAATGTCTCCGGTAATCTGATATTTCTGATAAAATGGTTCATACAGGTGTCCCAGAGGAAGTTATAAAGAGAGCAGCGTCTTTACTGAATGCTATTGGAAATAATAATCATGTTGACCGACTGTGCAATGATAAAATATCAGCTCAAGATCGACAATACAAGGTACTTTCTTTTTTCTTCTGAAACTAGTTTTGTAGTTAGAATAAACTCAGAAATTTCCATGTCACCTTTCACATGAATCATTGTGCGCGTGTGTAAACCAAATACAGGATACAATCGACAAAATGTTATCATTTGATGCTTGTAATGGCGATCTGAACCTCTTCTTCCAAGATATCTTTCCTTCTTAGATTCATGTGAGCATCAAATCTGTCTTCTTTCTTCTCCTGCTCATCAATGGCATCACGAAATGCTACTGTAAATTTCTTGAGTTTTTCAGAACCATTCACACAAGTAAACTTATTTTGGTATCAATATTGAAGTACTACTAAAACCGAAGGTAAACAAATGGGTAATTTCTGCCAACGCAAGCCATTTTTCTCCTTCGGTATCTGATTTCTATAGTTAAATCTGAATCAAACAATTTTTGAACTTTTCTCATTCTAATGCAAGAATGTGTATTACAATGATATTTCTCCATAATTTCCATGATTGATTAGTTTGTGAAAATTGAACAGTTAGAGGCAAATAGAACTTAGGGTGGTGGTGATATTTCTCAATAATTTGCAGTTTACTCTTTTTTGTCATACCAAAACCTAGAAAAAGCAGAAAATGTTTTTCAGAAAAACTTATTTTCGAAGAAACAAATAGAGTGTAAAGCAGTTGATTTGTACTAATGCATGCACATATTATTGATTCAGGTAATTGGTTAACAATCCCATCTTCTTTATCCCCTGTGTTCTATGTATTTTGTATTCCTTTCTATGTTTAAGGGCATCAAGGACAGCCCTAACACTTGTTTACACCACGGTTTATGCAGTGATTAGCTGGTTCACATTCATAGGCATTGCAAACTGTTGCAAACCGTCAAAAACGGCGTTGAAAAAGAGGTGAGCTGCTGCTTCAGTGGGATGGTAGAGATCCCAGAAGACATGATCACTTCTGTTGGAGCAGTACTTGGCAACGGGCACGCATGGAACTTGGGCTCTCAGGTTCCCCAACCCACAACAAGCTGATTTAACCTCAGTAAAACCTGAATATTTGACCAAATATTGTGGTTGATTGCAATAATTGGAGAAGAATTCCAAAAAGAGTAAGTTACCAATTGGCTTTTGGATTTGTGGAGGGGAGGAAAGTGAATGATTGGTTTAGTTTTCAGATTTTTTTTTTTTAAACTAACAATTGGAAACTAGTTTCATAACACTATAAAATACCAAAAAAAAAAAGATATTTTTGAATTTTTAAAAATCATTTCCATCCCAAAAAAGTGAATCATATGAAAATAATGAGCTTTTTGAATATTTTAAGATGACAATTTAAGAGAAGCCAAATTTAAAAAAAAAAAAAATTCAAAAAGCAAACTCTGAAAATTAAAATTGTATTTTATAAAACAATCTCCCTTTTTGTTTACCTCTAGTAATTTTTTCATCAGTTGAAGATTTGGGATGAGCAAAAACTTCTTTGTGAGAAAGGAGAATCCATTTTACTGTGCAAGATTCATGGGTCATAGGGGTGTTTGGCAATAGGTTTTTTTTGGCTTTTTTGGACTAAAATAGCACTAAAAGACAAAATACAATAAAATAACCAATAAAACAAAGTGGGTGTTTGGGAAGTGACTATTTTTTAGGTTTTTTGGCTATTTTAGTTTTTGTGTTTGGAAAGATGGGATGAATTTTTATTTGAGTTGTTGTATTGAAAAATGTGTTTGAAATGATGTTTGAGGTTGAAATGACAAATTTGTTCGTAATTTCACTTTTTTCAAAATTGGTGTAAAGGGGTGAAAGTGTCATTTACTACCGGTGGAACAGTCTGCCAAGTGATAGTGGTAGGCTGTCAGTGCCACTAACTGTAGGCTGTCGAGCTACATATATATATATATATATATTTTAATATAAATCAATGGTTCAGCTATAGTAAAGGTTACAGGGCTTTTTTCAAACTTGAGGTTAAAATAGCCTACCCTACAACTTCCCAAACACAGTTAAAATGTCAAATCAAACACATAATCATTATAATTTTTCTCGCAAATATTACATTCTACTACAAAAAAATCCAATTCTCTTTCCAAATATAATTGTTTTAGCCTACTAAAATAGTTTATTAAATCACAGACATGGTCAATTATCGAACCAATTTCATCTTTCATGAGTTGGGTTGGTTCCATTTTTAAAAGTGGCACAATTTCATCTCAATTTTTATTCGTCTTGTCTTAATTCAAATTAGTTGGTTCATTTGATCTTAAATTTTTGAACAAATCAGTGCTGATTTGGTTTAGGATCTAACATTGCCATTTTGATAACTAAATAGAAGAAAAGAAATGGAAGTACCATAGGTGGAGGGTGACTGAATGAAGCTAGAAAAGATAGTGTAGGTGTCAACAAAGGAGTAGTCCATGTTGATTAAGGTCGAAATGTACGTCATTGAGGCCGTTAATTAGAATCTTTTAACTTCACTTGTTGGTCAAACTGTATATTTTATGTGTGTTGAGTGTCAACCAGGTTGTACATCGTCGGAGCATAAAATGAGCAAAAAGACAGAATTTGGGCAGCGTTGACTTTTCCGCACGTGCGTTGACTTTCCTGCACGTGCGTTGACTTTTTCTGGGAAAGTCAAACCGACGTTTTAAACCTGTTTAGACGAGATTGGAAGTATAAAAGGCAAGTAAAAGGCTGGATTGGGGTTCGGACGCTGTTTTGACCAAAAGAAGGAGGCTAGGGTTTTGAAGGGAAGAGAAACAAAAAGCTTCAAGGATGTCTCCCATGGTGGTTTCTTCTCCATCTACCTCCTTTCACTCCTCCATGAGTGGCTAGTCCCTTTTTCTAGGGTTTTTATGAAACTCTAGCCATGTAATTATTTAGTTTTCTTTTTGATTTTTAATTATGTAAAGGTTTGAACATTTGTATGGTGATTTAGAAGTTTGTTTTATATAATTTTCATTATTCTTTCGAATATTTGACTTTCTGTGATTGTTAAATGTTATCCATACAATTGTTTTCTTTTCCTTCACATTCAAGGTATGGGACGAACCATACTACGAAGAACGAGTCGTATCACTACCTTAGTTTAGAGTGAACGGTTCGTATTACTTGAAATGGTTCGTGCTCGTACATTGAATGTGATGATCTTCTTGTTAAATGCTTTGAGCTTGTAGTTGCGAAACATTAATCCGTTCAAACCATAGCATAATTGATTTCAATTGGAAAACCTAATTATGTGGTTAGTGGTGAATTCTCTACCCTAGGATTTTTTCCTAAATCAGTAAACCCAATTTCATTTATTATTGATAATTTAATTCCTTAGTTTAATTTATTCGTTATTAAATTAGGTTATAAACAACCAATCTTTTTATCAAAATTAATTTAGGAATTTGACAATTAAATTAGTTTAATTTCACAATAGTCCCTGTGGATCGATACCTGGACTTGCCATTATTCTGATAGAATTTGGTATAGTTTAGTATTTAATTTTGGTGTGTTCAACGACCCATCACATGTCATTGAGCTCCAATTTGAGTCCTTGCAACATTGACTTAAGGCCTTCATTGTACTTAACTGACCAGTAATTAGCTTCTTCATTGCATTCTTCACTAGTTTTGTTCTGATTCCTCTGTGAGGGACAACACCCCACTGCTTCTATCCCAGCCACCACGAACTTTCGTGAACCAAAATTATGCATCCTCTACAAACCATTTTTTTGTAAAAAAAAAAATGTTAAATGAGCTACCATTGAGAAAAAAGTGAGGCAATCTATAACAATTTCAAGAGTAACAAAAATAACTAATATGCTGTATATTATGGTGTAGGAAAAGAAAAAATGGTAAATGAGCAACCACTAAGAAAAAGCGAAGCAAACTATAACAATTTCAAAGAGTAAATAAAAAAAAATGCCAAGGCTAGGCTTGGTTTGGTTTGGTTATATTATTAGTGTCATGTCCTTGAAAAAATGTGAATCAATTAATATGACTTAAATCGATAATAGTGCTTTGCACACCCAATATCGTTGGCAAAAATTTCCAATTTGAGGTGGGGTTGTTGAAATCATTTTTGTTTGTTTGTTTTGTGTAATGATTTTTTTCGATATATCTATGAGTGCAGCCCAAAAGAAAGCTAGGAGACTCGAATCTGATTTTAGATGAGCAAGTAAAATTTAAAATTAAGGACACATAAAGAACTCTAAGTTCAAACGCAACATTGGATATATATAGCTATATCATCAACAATCTATTTGGTACAATGAAACTAGAAAAATTGAAATTGTATAACTTGCAGAAAATATATTGTAGAATAGGAAAATGGATGAATGATTAAGGCTATCATTTGACGCTATATCCTTGAGACAAAATTTATCCCTCGCATTGGTGCTTATGAATTTTTGAATGCCTATCACCTAAAATACATTGATCAATGCACACTGAAGAAGCACTTATGTCGATGTGTTCAGTGAACCACCTGAGTTAAGCTGATTAATAAGTTGCTTAAAATTTCATTGGATGATTTAGTAAGTTTTTAGTAAATATATTTAAGTTTGGCTTATTTATTAGTCTAATTGAGTTGTGTTTAAATAACTTAAATTTTTGTAATGTATATAAACTCATCAAATTTTCAAGTAATAAGTGTTCAAATTTAAATTGAAAATATGAAAGGTATAGGGCACGGGGCCATAAATTTAATTTTGAAACTTTGGGGGCAACAACTCCAAGCTTTAAGTTTTTAAGGCCATAAAAACAATAATAATCTAAAAGATGATATTATTTTAACCTATGTGTCACCTATTTGTCTACCTATGTATCCACATGTCTTCTATCTGTCCACCTAATCTACCGATCTGTCCATATCACTACCACTGCTGTCACTCCTCGTCGGCGGTCACACTAGCTACTTCCACTAACTTTTCCAACGTTGGTGATTTTTCCATTAATAGTTCGACAGTGATCTTGTGCCATTGAGTAAAAAAAAAAATTATTCTTTAAAATAATAAATTATTATTTTCATAAAATAATTTCATTAATTATATATCCTTGCAACTAAAATACAACAATTTCTTGAATGTAATGTTAGAATTAAATTTCTCAACAAATTTTTCAAAGGCATATTACTTTGTCAAAACTTGAAACTCAAGGCAATAATTATTCCATATGAAGGCAAACTATAATACTACTTTTTTCAAAATTCATCAATTATAAGTGTGACTAAAAAAACAAAATTCAATTACAAGAAGGACCCACCACTCATTTTTTTTATCAAAATTGTGGAGCCGAAAATTTTTGAGAACTATTCTAAATATATATTTTCTAAAGTATATAGCATTTTTGTTTGGATAATGGCATAGAAATTGAACAATTTAAAAGTTGACAACAATGGGTTCTCATCTTCAATTATTACCAACAAATAATAATTTAGTGAAAGGTGCCACGTCTGATTGGTAAGTCAATTTGGTATAAAAATTTAATCATCACAGCATTACTCTGAAGAGAAAAAAAAAATTGAATGAACAAAAACATCATTCCAAATCTAATCACATTATTTGTTTGGAAACTATGTTTGAAAGACAAAAATATCAAAAATTACATTTCTGCTAATGAGATTATTGTGTCCTTGTGATTCATGCATTTGGTTTAATTATGGATTGTCTATTAATATTATAAGTTCATTTAGAGTAATGTGAAGTTTTTGTATGCAAATTATTTTCTAAACTTTCACCCCAAAAAAAATATATGAAAAGAGAGAAAGGAACATGAATCATGAAAATATACAAATGCAATATCCAATAAGTTAATTGCGAGCTCTTACAACAAATAAATGGAAATACAAATTTTGTTATTAATAACAATCTTGCTCAAAACACATCATTTTTTATCATATTTTCTACCGTCTACTCATAATTGAAGCAACATTGCATAATTGTGTAAGTTTCACTCCTGTTATGAATACGCAATTAAAAATATGATTAAAAATAGTGTGCCTCCAAACTTATTCTATCACACACAAAAACATAATGAATCTCTTCACCATACCATGAATGTAAAAAGACAAACCCTAATGGACACGTGAAAATCACAAACAAAGTACTTTTAATGAAATTTCATCCTCCTCCCACTCCTTTCATCACCTACATCTCTCCCTGAATTGCATCAACCACCGTCATATTAACTTGAAATGTCTTGGCAAGAACATCGCCATAAATCATTGGTTTTGATCAAAAAACAGCGTTAGCCACCGTGATAACACCAGGGTTCTGGCTGCTTAACCCAGCAATCGCGATAGCACTTCCATGCCCAACATTCCTTTCATAATGAATGAGTCCTATTGGGAACACAAACACATCACCTTTCTGAAGAACTTTACTAATAAAATGGTTTTCAAGGTTGGAAGTAACGAAGCCGACCTCGAGGGTGCCTTCAAAGACGGTGAAGATTTCAGTGGCACGAGGGTACACTACAACAATTCGCACTTTTGGCGACCAATTTTGGCCACTAAAATTAATTTAGTCACCAAAACTCATACCTTTGGCGACTAAAATTGGTATTGGTAGGCATTGGTTCAAATATTAGCTACTAATTTTTTTTAGTCACTGTAAATTACTTATTGGCGACTAAAAAACAATTAGTCTCTAAAAACTATCGTAATAGGCGACTAATGAACATTTTAGTCGGCGTTAGTTTTGTTTTTTGGCTACTAATTTTTTTTTCGTCGCTGTAAACTCGTTTTTGCCTACTAAAAATATATAGTCGGTAAAAATCTTGCAAAATGTTTGGTATTAATGTTTGGTGACCAATCTTTTGTCAGTAAATATTTATTTTCAACAACAAAAAAAAGTTTTTAGTCGTCGTATAAAAATATTTGGCTACTAAAATAGTTTAGTCGCCAAATAATTAACATTATTTTACTTTTATCTTTGGCTACAAAAATTTTGGTAGGCAAAGGTTACTTTTAGTGACTAAATTGATTTTGTTGCCAATAAAACCAAAAAATTTTGGTGGGAATATTAAATAGTACCTCGTATATATTTTCAGGCTATGTTTCATTTTATTTTTTTTATTTCTTTGTATGCATTGAATACACCAAAGAAACACTCTAGTCTCTCACTCTCACTCTCACTCTCGTCGACAAAATCAATCTCCTCTCGTCGACTAACCATCGGCCACCGTTGCTCAGAACCCCCGAACCGCCACCGGCCGGTACACCATTTGACACCCATTGAATTTGATTCAGGTTTCTCTCTCTCTCTCTCTCTCTCTCTCTCTCTCTCTCTCTCTTCCTTCTTCTATTTCCCTGTTTGAGTTTGATTTATGGGAAACGAGTAAATGGGTTATGATTTTTGTTCTACATTTAGAGTTTTTTTTTTTGTTTTTGATGTAGAGGCTTTCAATTAATATATCTGAAAGAAATTTGGAAAATGCTAGAGATCCTATATAAATTACCAAATATTTTACCAAACCTCTCACATGTGGGACCATACACATGTTTGTTTGGGATCCCTAGCATAACTCAAGAAATTTTATTTTGTAAATGAATCAAACCGTTGGGTTGCTCTAAATTTTCTCTGATATTTTCAAGAAAACTGCAACTTTCGAATTTGTCAAACTTTAGGTTGTAAACAGGTTTGGCAATGGTTGTCCTCCCTATTTGACCCATCCCATAGATCAGAAATACGCCAACATCAGTTGAGCCATCTTGTAACCATAAGTTAATGTTCTTCACTTCATAATGTATACCAATTGGATAGGGGGCAACACTCTGTTTTGTTAGATTCAATTTATTCCCAATGTTTTGAACAATTTTCTGGATAAACTGTGAATCAAACCTACAGATTCAAAATAGAACAGAAAACAAAGTACAGTGAGCATGTGTTGAGTTGAAACATAGATGATCTGTAGAATTCAATGAAAATGCATTACAGAATCATGGTCTTTAATTTTTGCACCATCGCAACTACAATTAGGTTCATGCCATCAATATCGCATTGCCTCTAAAATTAACAAGATATTCCATTTAGTCTTCTCATATTTGATCATTCTCTTTATTTTGTTTCCTCCTCTAAACAGGAAGCTTCCCATAAGAGTTGTCTCATAAAAAAACACCCTTACATTTTTTGTATACTCAAAGTTTATGTCATGATGTAAACAGTGGATCATTGCATATGATTGCAAATATCTGCTGTACATCTACTGAAACTAGACTTATATTATGCACATATATTCCCAATTCAGTTATGTTATATTAGTTCTATTGATTGTAATATCAACAGCATGACCAAACCAAACCAAGTTCGCATTGTTTTGCAACTGTGTATGTTATTTCCAATATATAGGTTGGACATCATAGTCTTCATAATATACTTTACAAATTCTCATGAGGAGGTGTTAGTTATAGGTTATGTTAGGAATATTTGCAGAGTAAAGTGTGCCATAACCTACACCAAAACAGGTCAGGTATAAACCACTAAGCTATTTGCATAATTCCTTCTGTAGTTTCAATCTTTGTCACAGGTTTTGCGAGACTTGGTTAAAGACACTGTTCATCCATTCATTTAGTTATAATTTTTAGTATCATCTTAGAAAACTAACAAAAACATGTAACAAACATCCAAGTTTATGAGATTTGGAACACAAAGGCATGCCCAAGAAGGGGTTTTAGTGAAAATTACCGATCATCATCATTTTGTAAGACCATCCCTCCCAAATCCACAAC